ATAATATTGCTATCACAATACAAATTCTAGATACTATAATATTGGCAGATAAATAGGATAACTAATGCATCAAATTTTGAAATCCTCCCTTTTACATGCCTTTAAAAATCTATATATAGCTAAATGGAAAACAATTGACATATCAAAATTTTATTTGCTCTTACCACATTTTTCTCTAAGCTTCTTGCCTGGCATTATAACTTGTCCTCCATCTTATTGTTTGCTTTTATCTACTTTATGAATGACCACATGATAACTACTATAACGGCATGTCGCCTTCTTCACGAGCAAATTTTTTATCAAATTTAAATTGTTTGACTATCGAAAAATAAAAAGTGCCACATAAATTGGGACGGAGGAAATATTTTTTATGGTTTCATTTTTATGGTTTTTAGGAAAACATAAAATATGATTTAATTTATACTTTTTATTATTACAATCAAGAACATTCAATGATATCAAACAAATATACTTTTTAATCTGATATAAGCAGAACCTTTATTGATGTTGCTCATTAATTATCAATCAAACACAAGACACAAAATTCAATCAACTACAATGTAACCCTCTAGGTTATTTTCTCTTTATTGCATTTTTTCAGTGTTTAGAGCGTTGAATTTGACAGTTTGGTCACTTGGTCGTTCGTTTGGTTTTAGTGCAAGTTTCTCTGTTTTGGAGTTTTTGAAACTTGAATAGTTGACTTCGGTCAACACATCAGGTCGACAACCTCAAAACATAATTTTGACGGCTCTGTTAGCTCCAAAACATCGAGTTTAGTCAAAAGAATCTTCAGAACGGATCCTGAGGCTTTCGGGCTCATTTTGAACTACCTTGTGGAATTTGACTTGAAACAGAGGTAATTGGGTGTGGGACTCACTATTCATTGATAAGATCTCGGTTGGAAGTTTCGACATCTCTTTTGAGTCTGGAATATCAAATTTGGTGGGGTAGAATAGTTCATTTGTGTGCATGAGATTTCACATTTTTAGTAATAATATAAATACTTAAATCAAGTAAACATCACGACGTGATATTCAATAAAAAAAATGCCTTATAAATAAGACTAAGGAAGGTTATATGTTGAGTTTTAAAGATATTAGTGAAAAATGTAATGATTTTAGTTATAACAAGGAGAAATCAACATTGTCATTCTTATCGTGATAGAGTGATATGCATGTCAAGTGTTTGATTAAGATATGACGGGTCTCTCCTTATACTAACTTTTTATTTTTATTTTATTCAAAGAGAAAAGCTAGAAATAAAGAAAGGACATAATTAAAAGACATTGTGATTGATAATTTAAAGGTGATTAGTAAATAGTTTAACAATTGTTTGCTTCCTTAATAATCTCAGATAAGCTAGTAAATCTGATCATTCCTTTATTCTAGCGCTATTCAAGATACTATAATATTGCTATCACAATACAAATTCTAGATACTATAATATTGGCAGATAAATAGGATAACTAATGCATCAAATTTTGAAATCCTCCCTTTTACATGCCTTTAAAAATCTATATATAGCTAAATGGAAAACAATTGACATATCAAAATTTTATTTGCTCTTACCACATTTTTCTCTAAGCTTCTTGCCTGGCATTATAACTTGTCCTCCATCTTATTGTTTGCTTTTATCTACTTTATGAATGACCACATGATAACTACTATAACGGCACGTCGCCTTCTTCACGCGCAAATTTTGATCAAACTTAAACTGTTTGTCTATCGAAAAATAAAAGGTGCCACATAAATTGGGACAGAGGAAATATTTTTTATGGTGTTTAGGAAAATATAAAATATGATTTAATTTATACTTTTTATTATTACAATCAAGAACATTCAATGATATCAAACAAATATACTTTTTAATCTGATATAAGCAGAACCTTTATTGATGTTGCTCATTAATTATCAATCAAACACAAGACGTAAAATTCAATCAACTACAATGTGATAACCCTCTAGGTTATTTTCTATTTATTGCATTTTTTTGTTGTTTAAAGCGTTGAAATTGACAGTTTGGTCACCTGGTCGTTCGTTTGGTTTTTGTGCAAGTTTCTGTGTTTTGGAGCTTTTGAAACTTGAATAGTTGACTTCGGTCAACACATCAGGTCGACGACCTCAAAACATAATTCTGACGACTCTGTTAGCTCCAAAACATCGAGTTTGGTCAGAAGAACCTTCGGAGCGGATCCTGAGGCTTTCGGGCTCATTTTGAACTACCTTGTGGAATTTGACTTGAAACAGAGGTAATTGGGTGTGGGACTCACTATTCATTGATAAGATCTCGGTTGGAAGTTTCGACATCTCTTTTGAGTTTGGAATATCAAATTTGGTGGGGTAGAATAGTACATTTGTGTGCATGAGATTTCGAATGAATCTCGAGCACCCCATCAGGGAATTTGTGAACTTGAGTTCTAGCTGATGCATCAACATATGGTGTCGGTAAAATCCTTCATAACAATCGTGATGAAACCTCCGCGATTGTGGTGGGCATTGCACCTGACCTCGCGGTCGCGTGGTCTCCTGTCTGCGATCGTGATGGACATTTCATAAGGTTGACCATTTTTTGTAAGAGAAATTGCAAAGTTTGACCTCCACAATCGAGGTGGTCATTTTATCTGGAGGGTCTCAATTGTAGCCATGTACTTCGCGATAACGCTGATTATTTTGACTGGTCTGTTAAATTAAGATAGTCATGAATCATCTTTTGATTTATATTTCAAATTTGATTTTTGTGACCTATGGAGCTCTAGTTTGGCTTATTTTCATTGCGTGTTGTCGAAATATCGGGATTGTCGGGGATGCATGGAAAGATTGTTTTGCATGTAATTGTAAGAATAATTCTTATAATTATGGCCCATGTTTACTTGTAACCCAAGTAATACCATAAATAATATTTAATGAATAATATATTTCGTCTGTACATTGGTTATTTGATGGACGTACCAGATTAAGTCTTCACCTCTATAAATTGGTCCTCCCTCCACCCATTAGGGTTACCACATATTCTATACATTAATTCCATCGCTTACGGTTGTGATAACGTAAGGCTAGGGCAAGTAGGTAGAAACCAATTTACGACTAACGCTTTCGCTTTTATCTGTGATGATGCCTTCCGCATCAAGTATGTGCCCCTAATGATCTCTATGTAAGATTATCATGTTCAAGATCCTAATATTATGAATTAAAATATTTAATCTTGCATGTGGCATCCGAGCCTAGATTGTTTGAATTGATAATCTTCGTATATGAAACATTCAATATTTATGATGTACTGTTTATCGCATGCTCCACGTCAATACTTACTATCAATGTTCTAATAATATCTATCTAAGATGATGTAAGAGACTAACATAATGTCACTTGAAAACTTGCACGAATTTTGTTGTTACATCAATGAGAACAAAGTAAAAACAATACATAAGAAACTCACTTCTTTGAAAGGACGTGTACATTGAGGTTAATTTTAAAAAAAATCTTTTTAAGATCCTCTTCAATACACATGTCTTGTTACAGTATTGTTTTGTATTGGTGGGCACTAACTCTGTGATGAGCCTTCTTCATAGTTTCTTATGGTTTAAGTTTCTGTAATGTAATAATTATGTTTTGTTTTAGATTGTGCAATAAATTAAAGTGATCATTATACTAAGCAATAAATAATATATGTGTACTTAGTGCGAAATAGTTTGTTAGTCACCAAAGTGGCCAAACTAGAAAAATTAACGTCTACACATATAATAGTTATGATCACTTGAAGCATGTATTATGTTTCTATAGTTTGTTAGTCATCAAAGTGGCCAAACTAAAATGTGTAAAATTATTCACATGCACAAAATTTTATGATATTATGTATGTATTATGTTTCTATAGTTTGTTAGTCACCAAAGTGGCCAAACTAAAAAAAATTAATGTCTACACATATATAATATTTATGATCACTTGATGCATATATTATGTTTCTATAGTTTGTTAGTCACCAAAGTGGCCAAACTAAAATGTATAAAAAAATTCACATGCACAAAATTTTTATGATATTATGTGTGTATTTGTATTCATATAGCTTGTTAGTCACCAAAGTGACCAAACTAGTATGGTTAAGAAAAATATGCACTCATAAAATTTTTTTTATCTATGAAGGTTAATTAAATGCCTATATATTGAAAAATAAATAGATAAATTGACTTTCACTATTGCTAGAACTTAAGAATTTACCCAAAGGTGAATCAATCATTCTACGAATAGTGAA